GCCGCCGCCGCCGCCCATGGGGAACCACTTGGCCGAGCTGGCGCCCGCCCCGCTCCTGCCGCCTGTGCCGGCGCTGCACGTGGTGGTCGTCGGGCTGGACGCGGCCGGCAAGACCTCCCTCCTCTACCGCCTCAAGTTCCAGGAGTTCGTGCGGAGCGCGCCCACCAGGGGCTTCAACACCGAGAAGATCCGGGTGCCCCTGGGGGGGGCGCGCGGCGTCACCCTGCGGGTGTGGGACGTCGGCGGCCAGGAGAAGCTGCGGCCGCTGTGGCGCTCCTACACCCGCCGCACCGACGGGCTGGTGTTCGTGGTGGACGCGGCGGAGGCCGAGCGGCTGGAGGAGGCCAGGCTGGAGCTGCATCGCATCAGCCGCGCCGCGGACAACCAGGGCGTGCCGGTGCTGGTGCTCGCCAACAAGCAGGACCGGCCCGGCGCCCTGAGCGCGGCCGAGGTGGAGAAGCGGCTGGCCGTGCGGGAGCTGGCCGCCGCCACCCTCACCCACGTGCAGGGCTGCAGCGCCGTGGACGGGCTGGGGCTGCAGCCGGGCCTGGAGCGCCTCTACGAGCTGATCCTCCGGAGGAAGAAGGCGCCGCGCGCCAGCAAGAAGCGGCGGTGACCCGGGCCGCCCGGCCCTCCGCGGGGTCCCTGCCGCCTGGGGGACAGGATGGGAGAAGGGCGTCCCGCTCCCCACCTTCACGTCTGAGGGGCCGGGGCTGCCAGACCGAGGGCCACGTCCTCCACCCGGCGTCTGTCCTTCTCCAGCTCTCTCCACTTCTGTCCTGGGGGTGGACGTAGGTGGAGGACGCACTTGGGGTGAGGAAGACCGGGTCCCCCACCAGGGGCCTCTGCAGATCCTTCCGCGGGACACCAGTCACAGAGTTCCCGGTGTGTCTGTGACAGTGCGGAGGACCCTTGTCCGCACTGCTGGATCCACAGCCCTTTTTATAAGCCGTGTGTGCTCGCCGTGTTGTTACATTTTTTACCACTTGCCTGTAAGTTATTAAAGATGACGCTCGCGCCCGCTGCTTGGCCTGGCGTGTTCCTGGCTCGTCAGCCCAGGGAGGGCCCGGGAGGAGGCTTATCTTGAAGCTGAGTTTGCAGAATGCGCTCTCAAAAACTGCATTGTCAGCCGGGTGTGTGGGGGGGGGCACACACTGAGCTCAGCACTCAGGGAAGCTGAGGCAGGAGGATCACAAGTTGGCGCCCAGCCTGGCACAACTTCGCAGGATCCTGTCCCAGAGAAAAAAAACGAATAAAAAGGGCCGGGGATATAGCTCAGCGGTATAAGCGCCTGCCTGGCAAGCACAAGGTCCTGAGTTCGAGTTCCGGTACCAAAAAGCAAAAAAAAAACCCCACGAATGAAATAAAAGGCCTGGGATATAGCTCACTGCAGAAGGCTTGGATTCAATCCACAGTACCAGAAAAAATTGGCTGTGTGCTAGGATAGCTGATGAAACCAGAGGGGGTGCTTGCAAGCCTGTGGCTGCGGCTTGACGTCTGGGTTGGGGGTCACCTCCTTCCTGACTTTCCGCTCCTCCCCTCGCCCGCTGGCCCTCCTGACAGCAGCTGCTGCCTGCGGGTTTAGCCTGGACGCTGCCGCCGGCCTCCGAGGCCCCTCGGTCCTTGGCCGCGGGGCTGCCCGGCCTGCCCGGCCAGCTCGGCCTGGAGGACAGCGGGGAATGGAAAGTGCTTGTCCTGGCTCCGAGCCAGGCGGGCTGCGTCCTGCTGACTGCGCTCCGCGGCAGCCCGGTGACTAAGCCAGAGCTCTCAGCTCGGGTTCTTACAGGGGCCGTCACCCCCTCGGGGACAGGAGGGGCGAGCAGCCGCGTCAGCGCTGCGGGAACGCCGGGCACGCGTCTGACGGTGCAGAACCGGAGCCTCCCGCTGCTCCTCGACGCTGGGTGGGCGGAGTCCACGCCCTGTGCAGCTCCCTCGCCCCCGCGCTTGGTGCAACCCCAGCAACTGGGGTGCGTGGGGGTGGCCCGCTCCAGGATGAGACAGGAGGGAGCACGGGCTGGCACCCGACGTGGCTGGGAGGCTTCCCGCTCCCTTCCCCCAGCCGGCCGCCCTCCTCCACCGCAGGACGGGCGGGCGCGCTGACCGCGAAGGCTGCCCAGGCCTGCGTGCGGCCACCCCTCGGAGCTGCCGGGGACACGTGGACCGCGGCCTCCCCCAGGCCACACCCGTGGCTCAGCCGGGTGCTCGGGGGCAGAGCCCTGAGGCCAGGAACAGCTCCCGGGTCTGGCTCCGCCACTCCTCACCCCGGAGAGCCTTGGGTTTCCGCCCCCGCGCCCCGGCAGCAGGGCTCGGGGTTCGAGGAGGGCCGGACTGTCCTCCGTGTCCCTGGGGCCCGGCTGTCCGCGGGCGGTGATGGAGGAGCGGGACCAGTGGCAGATCACTGGCGGGGTGGAAGAGCCGAGGAGGAGGCCATGCTGCAGCTCGGGACTCGGAATCACCCTCCTGTCTCGGCCTACCCACGGGCAGGAGGGCCGGCGGGCAGGGCTACTTCCTGTCTGCGGGGAGTGAGGAGGGACAGACAGGTCCCCGAGACCACCCCGAACCCAAGTGATCTGAACGGAAGCCCTGGGCCGGGCCCTGCCCCTCCTTGAAGCCTCGCCCGGAGGAAGCAAGAACCGGAAGGGGCCACCCTGAGACCCCGCGCCTGCAGCGTCGTCGACGCGGACCGAGCGCCCCGCCCCGAGCCGCCCTGCCAGCTGTGTCCTCCCGGGCGGGCGCACTGCCGTGTCCCTGCTCGGCCTCCCGCCCTCCCTCCCTGTCCGGATTAGATTAAAGCCCAGACTTCCGCTCGCCGCTCCCTTCCCGGGCAGAGGAAGTTTTATCTCTGGAGTGGGCGCAGTAGTCCACAGCCCTCGCGCCCTCCCGCGCTCCGCTGCGCCACCGGGGTCCTGGGAGCACAGGGCACCGCTAGTCTCTGGTAGGGGGCTCCTCCGAGGGGCCACGGGCAGTGGGGGGTGAGGGCAGTGCCCCAGGCCCAGGCCAGCACCCTGCCAGGGTGGTCAGCGTGGTCCCGTCGTCGCCCAGGGACCTGCCAGGGAGTTGGTGTGTGAACGTCGCTGAGCCCGGAGAGGACTCCACCCGGGACGGGGGTTGGACCCAGGGTCTTCGCACTGAGCTACGGCCCAGCCTTTTGTAAAGTTTTACGTTTTCAAACAGGGTCTTGCTAAATTGCCTAGGCTGAGCTTGAATGTGAGATCCTCCTGCCTCATCCTCTTAGAGTGCTGGGACTAAAGGTGTATGCTGCCATGCCAGCTTCGTCCTCCTCCTTTCTCCTTTTATTATTATTATTATTCATTAACTTGGTGGGCTGGGGATGGAGGCCAGGGCCTCACGCATGCTAGAAAAGTGCTGTACCACTGAGCTAGGCGGGAGCATCAAAAGTTCAAATCCCACCTGGGGTATTTAGCAAGACCCTGTCCAACCCCACTACCACACACACACACACACACACACACACACACACTCTCTCTCCCCGGTGCAGACCGGTTATGTCCAGGGCACACGTGCGTCCAGCTCTCACGGATGGCGCTGAGGCTCATGTCCCCGCAGACGGGCTGAGGGGACCCGGCCTCTGCTCTGTCACCAGCGCCGGGCCTCTGAGGAGAGGTCATGGCGGGGCAGCGAGATCCCCTCCCGCCGCTTGCTCCTGAGCAGACTGCGTGACTGGAGGGGGTTCCCTGCCGGGCTGAGCTCAGATACTGCCGCTGCTGCTGGGGGCGGCGCTGGGCAGATCGCCAGGGCTCCCTGGCACCCACCCTGCGCAGACGTCAGCTGAGTGGGCGAACGCAGCCCGGAATAAACCGGGCCCTCCCTTGCGGGGAGCCAGGCGGGACCAGAGATGCCGCTCCAAGGGCAGGAAGGGGACAGCACGAGGGGCCCTGGGCCTCCCTGGCGGCCCTCTCCGTGGGGCCTGAGCCCGAGTCTCCTGGAGTGGGGTGGAGCCTGGAGGGTGGGGTCCCTGACCGGCCACCCTCAGCCTCCCGGGTGAGCCCCTCTCAGTGGGAGGTGGAGCCCCCACAGCGCACACCGCCTAGTCCCCGGGCTGGAGGGAACGCGCGGCAGCTGGGTTAAAAGTTCGTTTTTAAACCGGGCATGGTGGCGCACGCCTGTAATCCCAGCACTTAGGAGGCCGAAGCAGAAGGATTGATGCGAGTTGGAGGCCAGTCTGGGCTACAAAGTGAGCTCAAGGCCAGCCGGAACTGCATAGCGAGACCCTGTCTCAAAAAGACAAAAAAATAAATGAATAAATTTAAACATAAAAAAATAAATAAATAAAAGCTTGTTTCTTTGGTTTGTTTTTCCGTTTTTGTGTTGTCTTCTTTTGAGACAGAGTCTTGCAAAGTGGCCCAGGCTGGCCTTAAACTTGTGTTGGTCCTCCTGCCTCACTCTCCCCAGTATGGGGATTATAGGTGTGTGCCACCTGATGGAGGTCAGGTAGGAACAGGAGCTTCCAGACAGGCCTGCACAGTGTCCCAGAAGGCTTCCTGGAGGGGCTGAGGACTGGACACAACCTGAAACCAGCGAGGTGCATCTTGATTGACGTGGGGCCTGGGCTCAGATAGCTGGTGAGGGCGGAGCCTTCCAAGTCTGGACCCAGTTTCGTCCTCCCTGCCCTGTGACCGCCTGGCCTGGGGCGCCCTGCCCGCCCCACCCACTGTCACTGAGGGCAGCCCGGCTGTGTGCCAACACCTGGGGGCCCGGCGGGGTGGTGCCTGGGCAGGGCTCTGAGGTCCACCTGGTAGCCGCCAGTCTGCATGGCAGCTGAGACGTGCTGTGTATAAAATGCAAACCAGGCGCCGGGCACGAGGTTCTAAAAGGACTCTAAAGCATCCCTTTGCCCCGGTGTGGCGCATGCCTGTCACCCAGCACGAGGAGGCTGAGGCAGGAGGACTGTCACAAATTTGAGGCCAGCCTTGGGCTACATAGCAAGACCCGGTCTCAAATAAAGGAAAACAAAAACAAAAACAAAGGATCCATGAATACCATTTCACATTGCTTGTGCATTGAAACGGCTCTTCTTTTGTTACATTGAGTAAATAAAATACTTCCGTAAAGTTATTTCACCTGTTTCTTTTTAACTTTTAGCGAATGTAGTGGTGTGGCCTGGGGTGAGGTTTGAGGCTACACAGTAAGACCCACGAGAACAGGACTGCTGGACCTGCTGCTGTGTGTGCTGCTAAGGCCAGCACCCGGCCGCGTGGGTCCTCTCTACTTCTGGTTGTTGTTGTTGTTGTTGAGGCAGGGTCTTGCTATGTAGCCCAGGCTGGCCTCAAACTCGAAGCAATCCTCCTGCCTCAGCCTGCCGAGTGCTGGGATCATAGGCATGCACCATGGTGCCGGCCGAGGCCTCTCTTCTCTCACGCAGGGTGCAGGCCGGGCACCTGGGGGAAGGGACGTGATGGGGGAGGGTGAAGGATCTGGTTTTTTCCTTTCTGTGAGGTCAGAAGAGAAACAGAAGAGCAGCTTCGAGGCCCCAGGGTCAGGACTGGAAGCCTGATCGCCCCCGCGCATCCTGGGCAGGGCAGGCCAGGGGCTCTTTGCATGTTCGCGCTATTGCACTGCCATGCTCTGGGACCCACCCCTGGTCCCTGGCGTGGTGTCCCTGGCTCCGTCCAGGGTATTTTTCCAGTCCACAAGCTGCTCCACACTCCCTGATGACCAGCCCCGAGCCCTGGTTCCCGGCCAGGCCTGCCCTCTCTCCTGAGCCTGTCTGGACTCCACGGGGCCTCCGAGGCAGCAGGGGGGCGTCGCCCTGCAGGGCTGGGACGGACGGGCTGGACCAGCACAGCCTCCATCGTCCGGCCCGGTTCTGCACACACAGGACATGCGGCCTATGTGAGTGTGGGCCGCACAGGAAGATGTGGGGCTCAGGTGAGCACGCTCCTGTGCATGAGGCCTGCCATAAAGAGGCCACCTGCTCATCTCCCGAGCCTGTGTTCTTTCTTCCTTTTGAGGCAGGGTCTCACTATTTTAGGCCGACCTTGAGCTCCCTATGTAGCTCAGGCTGGCCTCTAGCTCTAGGCATGCAACACTTCTATTTATTTATTTTGTGTGTGTGGTACCAGGGATCGAACTCAGGACCTTGCGCTTGCCAGGCAGGCGCTTATGCCACTGAACTATATCCTCAGGCCCTGGCCTCCAACTCTAAACAATCCTCCTGCCTCAGCCTCCTGAGTGCTGGGATCACAGGCACAGGGCAACTCTGAGGAGAAGGACGGGGAGGAAAGTGGAGGGGACAGAGGGTGCTGAGCTTTGGTCGGCCCGGCAGGAAGCTCTGGGGGGCAGGGGGGCACTCCCCCATGTCATCAACTATGTCAACAGGTGGGCAGCTGGCCGTTACCCTGGTGTCCACCAACAGGCACAGGGGTCCAGAGAAGGGACGACCGGGCCTGAGACCACGTGTGGCACGTGGCCATCACTGGGGTGTAGCCAAGATGGGAAGAGCCAGATCCGGGCAGCCACAGTCCCGTGGCGCTGCGCGGCATCTGGCGTCTCTCTCCTGTCCCGCCTGCCCAGCTGCGCTGCACCCCAGGCTCCCCCTCCTCTGTTTCCACCTGGCCCGCACCTCACTCCAGGCCCCTCTGCAGCCAGGGTGGAGCCGAGGGTCCCGGCACCCCCAGGAACTGGGGCCGGGCATCCTCCCAGCCTCGGTGTCCCCAGGAAACCTGGCACTAACACCTTGCTCCTTGTCCTGAGCTGCCCCTTCCTGGGCAGCCCCAGCCCCTCCTCCTGTCCCAGCAGACGCTGCCCCAGGCCGCTCCAGGAAACCGCAGACCAGGAAGGAAGCCTCTGTCTGCACTGGGTCACATGTGCCCGGAGAGCGGAAGAGACAAAAGAGATGGTTGTCCCCGGGCCTGAGGCAGCCTCGGGGCTCCCGTACTTCTGCCACCGCCCTGCCCTGGGGCACCAGGGTCGGAGGGATGGAGGAAGGAGAAAGGGTGCAGAGGGCAGTCCTGCTCTTATTTTTTAATTACTCAAATCAAACGGAGAAGCTGGGCATGGTGGTGCATGCCTGTAATTCCAGCACTCAGAGGCTGAGGCAGGAGGATCGTTGCAAGTTTGAGACCAGCCTGGGCTACAAAGTGAGCTCAAGGCCAGCCTGAGCTGCATAGCGAGACCCTGTCTCAAAAAGACAAAAACAAAAAAACACACAAAAATATCAAACAGAGAACCCCCAGTGTTGCACTCTCCCCGGTTGTGTTCCCAACACGCAGAGGGCCCAAGCCTGCCTAAGGCGTGAGCGCACACGCGCGCACACACACACACACACACACACTCTTGGAGTTGAAGCCAGTGTGGCTGGCTCCGGGGAGGCCTGTGTGGGCGGCTGCAGACCTGTCCCCAGCAGGTGGCACCTGGTCAGCCACACCCTGCTCCGCGGGTTTCGCGTGAGCCGCATCCTGGGCGGCCGGGTATCACCAGGTGGGCAGGAGGCTGGGGCAGCCGGGCTGGCCCTGTACCAGCAGGGAAGGGAAATCCGCCCTCCCAGGGCAGGTGCGGTGACTCAGTTTACTGCTGGAGAGGAAGAGCCCTGAGGGCCCTGAGGCCGGGGACCCCTCATTGTCTGGAGGCGCAGGCCTGGGGCGAGGCGCAGCGCAGGTCTGGCTGGGGACTGCGGCCCTGGCACCCAGAACCCTGGGACGTGGGAGTCAGGCGGGGGTGGCGGGCCGTGCCCTGTGAGGCGGCCGGGCTGTAGCTGCTGTAAGTCCTTGGTGAATGCAGTTGGCAGCTGCCTCGGCTCTCTGTGACTCCCTTGGTCAGAGCCTCCCCACCGGGAGGAGCAAACCCGCTGTGCAGCCCAGCTCCGGCCCCCGCCGAGAGGCACTTCTTCCTTTGTTTTGTTCCTCTCTGCAGTCCTGGGGAGGGAGCCAGGGCTTGACGCAGGCAGCAAGCTCTCTGCCCCGGAGCCGCATACCCAGCCCTTTTCATTTTCTATTTTGAGACAGGTTTGCAGGTCTGGAATTTGCAGTCCTCCTGCCTCAGCCTCCTGAATGTCTGGGATTACTGGGTGCTTCCCCCAGCTCAGGAGGCGTCTCTAGGCCAGTTGCAGTGACCTTGTTCATCTGGAATTCAGAATGGAAGGTGCTGCGGGGAGTGTGAGGCAGGAGGAAAGTGAGGGTCTCCTTGCTGGCTGGTCTCTGGCATGTGGATTTAGCAACTCAACCTTGCTTCATTGCATTTGAATTTTTCTTGTTTTGTTTTTTGTTTTGGTTTTTTGAGACAGGGCCTCGCTATGTGGTTCAGGATGGCCTTGGACTCACTCTGTAGCCCAGGCTGGTTAGGAACTTGTGGCGATCCTCCTGCCTCAGCCTCCTGAGTGCTGGGACTCCAGCCTGACTTTCTTGTTTACTGTGGGGCTTCTAACCATCCTGAGGAAGGAAGACTTAGGAGACACAATATTTCTTTCTGTCTCCCAGCTCCCTGCCCCTCTTACCAGACAAGGAAAATAAGAACCGCGAAGGTGGAAAGAAAAACCAGCTTCCTGCAGACACGGCTCCCATTGGCCAGGACTGCAGAGCCGCAGGAGGACGCGAAGCCCAAGGGCTTCCAAACGCTCACTTGCTCACTCTCTTTGCTTAATTTTTTGCAGTACTGGGGGTTGAAGCCAAGGCTTTTGCACTGAGCTACATCCCTAGTTCTTTCCTTTGGAATTTTTTTTTTTTTTTTTGAGACAGGCTCTCACTAAGTCACTCCACTGCCCAGGCCGAGCTGGAACTTGTGATTCTCCTGTCTCAGCCTCTTGAGCATCTGAGATTACAAGAGCGCATCACCATGCCCAGCTTCAATCAAAATAAATAAATAAATAAATAAAGCACTGGGAGCTGGATGTGGTGGCACACACATGTAATCCCAGCTCTCAGGAGGCTGAGGCAGGAAGATCATTGTGGGATTGAGGCCAGCCTGGGACACATAGCAAGACCCTGTTTCAAAAATAAAACCTCAAAAAAATCCCCCCAAAACCCCTATACAAAAAACAAATCAAACAAAACAACAGAACAGAAGAAAAGAAAAGAGAGCCACTCATACAACCCCTTCAAATACAGACACTACGGCCATCAGAGCGGCGGGGTGCTGGTGGTGGTGTGACGGCCAGGGTCCGGTGACCGAGGCCAAGGTGCCCTCGCCGGGCAGA